GCGCACTAGGGCATTCCTTCTTGGCAGCAAACTGGGTCTCTTAATATTCCTATAAACTGTCGTTTTGGACTGGGCGATTTGGATCACTCACCCAATCGCTCCAGCTGCCTGCATATAAAGCCTGACGACCCAAACCCGCCAATTCCATAGCCAGCAAATTGGGCAGTGCGCTCACGCCGCTGCCGCATTGGTGGACGATGCGTGTAGGCATATTAGATGTCTGCGCCTCCAGCAGTGCTTCAAATTCTTGGCGCAACACTTGAGCGGGCTTAAACCGGCCATCGGCTTGCAAATTGTCGGTAAACGGGCGGTTGCGTGCGCCAGGGATATGCCCTGCAACGGGGTCTATGGGCTCGTTTTGCCCACTAAAACGCGCAGCCGCACGCGCGTCCACTATAGTTTGCTTGCCCCCGCCCAGCTCTTGCAAGACATCTTGCGCATCAAGCAGTGTGACCAAACTCTGTGTGGGGCTAAATTGGCTGGGCTGCTTGGGCTCGGGTATAGCGGTTTGCACAGGGTAGCCCGCAGCCAACCAAGCAGCAAAGCCGCCGTCCAAAACCGCCACAGCTTCGTGCCCCAACCATTTGCACATCCACCACAAACGGCCAGCGAACATGTTTTGGTTACGGTCATAGGCTACGACTTGGGTCTGTGCAGTCATGCCCATTTGGCCTAGCCAGTGGGCAAAAAAAGTACGCTCGGGCAGCGGATGTCGGCCTCCACTGGCCTTAGCCTGCCCAGGCTGGGCGCTGAGATTTTGGTTTAAGTCTGCATAGAATGCGCCTGGGATATGCCCTTGCAAGTAGGCTTCTTTGCCTGCAAGCGGCTGGGTCAGCTCAAAACTACAATCAAAAATGAGTAAGGCAAGCCTATGCCCAGTGTGGCTATCGGTGTTTTGCAAGGCGTTGAGCTGGTCTGCACTGATGATGGTGCTGTATTCGCGTGGAGGCGCTTTTGGTGCGTTTAATGGTTTCATACATGTTCCTCGGCAGGGGTTGAGGGCAGGCGCTGGCTGCG